GAGTTTGTGGAGATTTTCTGCGATAAGGAAGGGGCGGTTGCCATAACCAAGGAACCGATAGATTATGGTAGATCCAGCCATATCGACAGAAAGTACTACTTCGTAAGACATCAAGTAGAAGAATCACACCACGTGGTGATGTAATGCCCCGATTCTCAGGTATGGATTTAAATAAAGAATTTCTTCAGTTTAAGTCCTACTCGACGAGTTAAGGCTGCCCTACTCGTCGAGTAGCAGCGAGGTGGGATCGCGAATTTAGTGATCTACTCACCGAGTCCACAAAGGGACTCGACGAGTAGGAGCTGGCAAATGAAACCCGAAATTTCAGGGCATTTCACCCTAATTAAAGGATCATTGGCCACCCCCTACCCTCCCCTTCACTGCTGTCGCACCCCAAAACCGGAACGGTGGAAACGTTCTGGGGTGGATGACGTCGTGTCAAGTATCACAACACATGCATTATAGTAATCAAAGTACAACAAAACATTGCATTAATAGTAATAGTTTTACATGGTTTACATTACAGTACGTCAAAGTAATACAAGTGATAATATAGGTACAGCTTGGTACTAAACTGTCTTCGTCAGAAGCTCCGGGAATGTACCTGTCTAATGCTGACCTGAGAATACAAGTTATTTGAAAAGCGAGTATCAGCATTTTTACAAATGCTGGCGAGTTCATAAGTATTTAGTGTCATTTTGTTCAAATAACTTTAATAAAAGTGGTAGTTTTAGAGTATCCTTTACATTAGTGTCTTTTCCAGAAAATCCTATATTTTCTTTAATAAAAGCAGTCTTCTACCAAGACTGGACGGAGTTAGGTGGTAAAAAGTAGTTTTCCCTTAATCGCTATCATTATCAAAATACAGAATTTGATTATTAAAGAGAGCATGAGAAATCAGGGAAATAACAATGCCTCAGCAGTGAGGACTGCTGACTAAGGCAAAGGAATCATAGACTCGAGGATAGTATCGAATGAACGACACACCTGGCTTAGTCTAACAAAGGGACACACAGACCCCAGACGGTACCAAATGAAACGTACGGCTAGCAAGGTCTAAAAACAGAGACTACATACCCCAGACAGTATCAAATGAAAGACACAGCTAGTAAGGTCTAAAATAAGGAATACAGACCCCAGACAGTATCAAATAAAAGATACAGCTGGCAAGGTCTAAAAACAGTGTGACTCTGAGAGTGGGTTTTCAGCATACAGTGTAAAGTACAGTGTAACATACAGTGTGAAATACCATTACCTTAAGGCCATGAATTATAAGGTAACCTGAGATACTCGTAACCATACTAACCGACACTAGAGTACCTGACGCCCTGCTAGCGTCTATAAAATGTGACATTTGTCACCCCTTGGCTTGGTAGGCCGTGGACTGTAGCTAGCAGTCAGGGTGTGGGGGTATCAATCCCTTATAGATCTATACACACTATGTCCGCTCTCCCTATAGGAGACTCTGGTTACCAACTAGACGATGGAGAAGGTCGTGTCCCGAAGATGCATCCCAAATAGTGGGTAGTGGGTTTCCAATATAAGTGTTGAACTAGAGGTAGAGACTCTTCACCTAACTGACTAGAGTAAACCAATATGGGTATGCTCGTATACATAATATATAACCAATGAATCAAACGACCATCGGACGGACATCTGATCCCACCAGACCACATCTCAACGAAGAAAAGGAAATAGGGCGGACAAGCGTTCCTAAGTCCTTCAACCATTATTTATATGCATCTATACAAGCACATGCATACATCTAACTACATTTGAGTTTGTAACAAGTGGAAGAATATCGTGAAGTATAACCAAATCGTGTGGAATAACCGAATCATGAAGTATAAGCGTACAGTGTGGAATAACCGACTTGTGAAGTATAAGCGTACAGTGTGGAATAATCGAATCGTGAAGTATAAGCATTACCAAATATAAGTGTATCACGAAGTGGAAGTGTTAACGAGTAGGAGTTTAAACTTGGTAAAAGCGAAGCAACGGTATCTTACAAGTAAAAGTAAAAGTATACGACATGAAAGAGAAACTTTGATGAAAACCTTGGAAAAACCTTTATACTTAAGAAAATCACAACCTGGTATTCTTCGGTAAAATAAGTTTGTAAACCTTTAGAATTTCTTTGGAAACCTTTCATAAACCAGTTTTAAAATGAGCTTTGACAAAAAAGTATAAGTAAGAGCTTGAACAAGCGAAAACATTTTAGAAAACCATTTATAGTATCCTACTCGGTAAAACAGTTTACAGTGTGGTAAATCCTTGTGCATGCGGGTTATCAATCACATGTGATTGATATGATAACTGGCATGTTTAACTTGTATTCCCCCCCTATAAAACATGTAAAAACATTAAAAAGGTTCATTCATGGGTATGAACTCACCTGGTGTAACTGGATCCTACGGGGGTGCCAGTTGGGTGCTCGTTGTCAAGTAAAGACTTGGACACACTTAGTGACCTATTTAACATATGATAACATATGTTCACATACAATTAGTACATTTAATACTAGTTAAGCAAGTATATGCTTCCAAAGTGAAAAAACACTTTTAATTAAGTGTTCGGGGTGTCCCGGGTAACATCTAATGGTGTGAATGACTAGTATAAGGAGTTTACTCTTCAAGAGTAAACTCCTTATACTAGTCATTCACACCTTTAAATGTTACCCGGGACACCCCTAACGCTTAATTAAAAGTGTTTACTCTTCAAGAGTAAACTCTTAGGAGAGATTTCGGCCTTAAACACCCCATACCCATGAGTTTACGGTCGTAAACTCATGGATGAGGTTTTTGAGTGTTAAACGGCCTACTACAAATTAAGAGATGATGCTAGGTTTTGTTCTTGGGCATTAGAAAGGGACCAATGCAACATATGGGTTATTTGATGAGTTCACGGCAGTAAACTAAGAGTTTACGGCCGTAAACTCTCACCCACAACAACCTAAATTGTTTTGAAGGCCAAAGGTAAAGCATAATTTGTTCTACTCATTTTTACAAGTCAAGGGGTGAGTTTGGGGCACCTTTTAACCCCTTTATAGGAGTTTATGGACCAGGTACCCTCTCGTGAGGGGTTTACGGTCGTGAACTCCTTATGGAGTTGTTTTAATTGAGTTTAAGGTCCCTAGCTTGTTGGTGGTTGATTCTAGAATTTAATCAAAGGCCATTGGTGTGTTTAAGGGCATTTTTAACACACAAATATGAGTTTACTCCCCATGAAGAGGAGTTTATGGCCCAAGCATGTTCTTGGACAGTAAACTCATGTTTACTCCCCAAAATGCTAGTTCAAGGTGTCACACCTTCAGCCGTCGGCGGAAACGCCGAGGTGCGCGACGTAAATCAGTAATCACTGTTATTAAACATACATTGAACAGTACAAATATAATCTTCTATTATTACCGAAATAGAAATTACATTGACAATGACTATTGCTAAATCGTGACACATGCCTGACAATCCGGCGTTTACAAAGATATAATATAACTAATGGAGAGTCTTCTGAGCGAACACTTCCAACCTGCTAAATAACCTGAGAATACATGCATTAAAATACGTCAAAAAATTTGTTGGTGAGTTCTACAGGTTTTGACACGGAGTATTTTTATACCCAACATTGTTTGATAAAATTTAGCTGGTTGACCAGCTTTTATAAATGTTTACTTTTCTATTAAAAGTATAAAATAATTGAGTTATAACAATGTGTTATGACTCATTCATAAATATCATTTGTTCAAATCCAAATGTACAAAAGTTGGAAAATACATATAAGTAATTCAGACTTGTATCAAAATGCATTTTTATATAAAGATTTTGAATATCAAATTATATAAAAATAGGAAATGTTACCCTTTGTGAGAACATAAAATAACCAACTTTACTCTTGAAACCTTATACAAGAATTTTTATCATTTATAAAAAAAAAATCATAAGTATTGAATTTATGAACTTTGTAAAATCGTGTCATGACAATAATTAAGTATTATCTGGCTTAATTTGAAAATCGGCACTTAGCCGGTGGGGTAAACTCCTCCCACATAAATATTGTGTTTTCTTATAAAAACAAATGGTTTATATAAATAACTTATTTTATGTAAGTTACTAAATCTTGTCGGAGTCGTGTCATGATATTAATTAAGTGTTATCTGACTTAATTTTTCGTACTGACACTTATCGCTTTGAGTCACAAGCTATCCCACTGAATACAATTTCTTTCAATTGGAATGAGTGAACATAAACCTCGTATAAATCCAATATCGATTCTATACAATAACGAAACAAAACTGAGATTTTATAATGAAATCATAACCGAACTCGTGACACTGTACTTTAGTAATGCACCGACACCATAATAAGGCGCGCGTGCTAAAGTCATTCACCTCGTTGTAGAACTATATCGAAACATTACCACGTGCTAAAGATCTATATTTATATTTTATATATAGTATAAATATATCATTTTTTAACAATCTATTCTAACTTAATAGATTTATTGGTGATTTATCACAATTTTAGATTGCTATATGATAAACTTTTGACCAATAATAAAGCATGATGTTATTTTGTATATAAAACTTGAAAATCATCAAACTTTAATAGACACCCATATATTCTCCCCCAAAATATTAAAACCATAAAAGAGGGGCCGTAGAAACTCACATTCGATGCGTGATCTCGATCCCGGTTCGTTTGGTGAAGCTTTTCGTGAATAACCGCAAAGTAACCATTCTTGGACTTTAAAACATTTCCGGGTTCGTTTTGTAACTAATTAAAATAAAGGAATTGTTGTGTTCCAATATTATAAACAATAGGGACTGATATAAATAAAGCAAGGTATTGGAGGGCTGATTTGGTAATTATACACCAACAATAGGGCTGTTGATCAAACAATTACCACAAGGGATGGGTTTTGCTATCTTAATATAAGGAGAGGGACTAATTCTACCAAGTTCATAAAATATACATAGGGACGCGTCTTCTTCTCCATCACTAGGAATGATCAAACGAAATAGCAGGGGAAAAACGGGGCCAATCTCCGGCAGGCCCTCGTGGATGCGCGTCTCGTCGCCAGCAGTCAATCGGAAGGGAGACCCAGCAATCGCAGACGACCTAGGAAACACCTTCGGTTATTTGTTTTCGGAGAAGAAGAGAAGGAACAAATGGAGCAGTCATGATGAGGAATTCTGATGTTGGCCATTCAGATCGCAAGGAGGGACGGAGAGGAGCACCTCTAGTGCTTGACTGGATCGACGATGGTGAATGGAAGCAGCAGCATTTGCCGATCCCTTGGAGACTACCACCTGATTGTTTTGTTTGGATAAAGAATAAGGAAAATGAAAGCAGATGGGTGGATCGGTGGTGATTATGGGATTGTGTGGAGGGGAGAGGGGCAGCCGAATTCCGGAGAGCTCCTCTTGGATTCATCTATCGTCTTCAGCAATGGAACATGAAAAAGGGAGCAAGGGAGAGACAAAGGTGGTGACAGGGGGCTCCGGTCGTTTTGCTCGATAATAACAGGTTTCTTTCTTCTCTCTTCTTTGTTTGATTGAAATCAATGGGTTCTGGTGTGTGATTTGCTTAAGCATGTGTTTAGGATTGATTCTTGACTGGAGTTGATGAACTCATAAGGGATGTTTGGGTGTGGTTCTCGGCAGTGAAGACAGAGAGGAGTTGTGAGGGTGGTGATTGGTGGTCTCCAGGCTCCACTGGTGGTCATAGCAACAACCACAGAGGTGATGATTAGTTATCGGAACAGGAGGAGCACAATCGGGGTTGTGAAGTCGATTGGAAGGAAGAAGAGAAACAAGAGTGTTGCTGCTCTTTTGGTTTCACTGGAATAGCTCCTCCGATGGAGGACTTTGACAAACAATTAAAGAAGAAAAAGGGAGAGAGATGGATCGAAAGTTTGAGTGTGTGGAATGAAGAAAGATTTCCAGCTACATTCTGATTATCTTCCACTGATTTTAGATTTTGGGAAGACTTTGGTTGATTTCTTTGTACTTCCAAATCTATTAGTATCGTATGTGATTATTTGTGTGAGTGTGAATCTTGTATAGCTTCCTTTGTGTGAGTGTGTATGTTGTATAGCTTCCAATTGAAGTATTTATATAAATTATTGAAATAGTCAATGGCTGACTTGGCTATATATTTCTTTTTACAATAAAACATGTGCAATTTATTTCATAAGGTAGTTCCGTTTCTTGATTCTTGTGTCATCAATCCCGACTCATGAAATTTTTATGAAATTGCCTGTTGATTGTCCTACTCATGGTGATTCCAAAAATGTAGATGGAATTTAATTCCGATCTACCAAACTCCGTGAACTTATGTTTAAAGTTTCGCGATTAATAGGATCCGGTTCGACAGATGGTTTAAGAAGTTTGGGATATTTTTAAAGTAAATTATAAATATAATATATTTAATATACCTTATTAACATAAAATTACACACAAGTGGTCATTAATTCATAACGGTTCGCGGTGGTTTGAACGCCAAACTCTGACCTATTTTTACCAATTGTTACACAAGGTGTTCTAGGTCCGATTCCATAAACCTACAAGTCATATCTAAGTATTAGGGACAATTTAGAGGGGTTTTGGGGCTTAGAAACCCCATAAAATGGTGTTCACGGTCCAAGAGTGTTCTTGGGCCGTAAACACATCATTTTGTCCCTATTTTATGTTTTAAACTCGAAATTGCAGGCTAGATAAGCTATATAACAAGTTAGGATAGTTTACCTACTCGTTTGGGGCTCGAAACGGATGATTTTTTGCTCGAATTTAAGTTTGTAGAGAGAGAGAGAGTGGAGAGAGTGTAGAAAGTCTCTAATGGACTCCAGTCACCCTTATATAGGGGTTGGAGTTGGGGCTCAGTAGAAATCTATCCGATACTTCCGTTAAACGAGGCTTTTGGTCGCACCCGATTTGGTGGTCGTAATAAAATTCACTTTTTCCAATTTACTATGGAAATGTAATTCAAGTGTTTTTATTTACTTTATTACGACTATAACGACATAAAAATATAAATAAATAAAACATTTATTTATTTGGCAACCTCTAATTAACGGAACTTTTATAAAATGGAATATTCCGTTAACGGAAACGGGGTAATGTAACAGAATAAACTTCGGGTTGTCACACCATCCCCCCGTTAGAGGGAATTTCGTCCCGAAATTCAGGTCTAGGCAAGGAAGTAGGTATGAATAACCGAGTAGAGGCAGGAGGGTACTTCCTATTCGGTTTGTCCTCGCATTCCCAAGTGAACTCTGGTCTGTGTTTGTCATTCCAACAAACCTTCACCTACGGGATGCAGATTCCGTCTCGTGTAGTTAGTAGGTTCCGACTGGTGTATCTACCAGGTTAGGGTTCTCAATGGTTTCTGTCAAGATGGGTGGGATACTAAGAGTGACATCGGGTAAGCACGTATCAAGTCTAAGAAGGGGATCTATCGGGTGTGAAGCTTGTGGAATATCCGTAAGTAGTAGTGGTCTGATGAGGGTTGGACCAAATCTCCATCAGGATTCTCGGATGGTCCTAAGATCTCGAAAGGGTAGAGCTTTTCAGTACTTAGAACATAGGGTACTTCTATTGGCAAGATCATCACTGACGTGATCACCATTCTGAAGTTCCTAACATTCTTTCTCTTACTGGTAGTGTAGTCCTTCAGGTTGGTTCTTAGGAAGCTCAGGTTGTCTTTGGTTTCGCGTTTCCTATCAACTGGTTGTTAGAGGCTTTCCTAGATCGTCGAGTGGGTTGAGTGACTATGGTTATTTGATTGTGGTAGGGTGTCTAGCTCAAACTTGTGCAAAATAACCCGCACTTCTGATGTTTGAGGTACTTCTGACGGAAATCCTCAGGGTCGGGGAGGTAGGGTTTTACCAGACGAGTGTTGGACTATCCCTGGAGGTGGTTCTACTATTTCTGCGTGAGATAATATTAGTGGAACACCTAATAGTCCAATGAATCTCTAAGTATTTGGTTTATTCTAGTGCGGAAAGTGCATGCTCCAGCATAACCCCTCGACTAACACCAAGGCTAGTGTTAGGTGTATAATCTCTTCGGGATCTGGATCATGAGGCTTAACGCCACTGCTTTCGCACTTTGATCAAGTATTCTTAGCTGCGGAGGTTATCCTGTGCTTCTCGGTATTCTAGTGTTCACTTCGGAGAATGAAGTCTATCGCCTACAGGGCGACGACGATTTCCTCCATGCGAGAGGGTGGAGGGTTATAAGCACTACTTATCTGTAACAGGGTGGACGAAGTGCCTGAGTAGTGCGAGAATCAACTGCAACTACTCTTCTGTAGGTTCTGAGTTTTCCCAATCTAGGTCAATTCTAGTGAGTCTAGGTGCCCATCACTCGGAACTTTAATCCCTTTACCAACTGAGGGTGTTAGCTACTGTGTTGGCTTAACCGGTATGACAACAAATTTCGGATTTGTGGTCATTATAGTAGCTCAACCCGCAGCAGTTCTCTTGACTCCAGCTCCTATTTTATGGAATAGGATGAAGGGCTTTACTATGAGGTTCGTGGTAGAGCTCATACTTGGCTTAACCACTAATACTTGGTGTATGCAGGCCGTATATAATTGAGGTTGGTAGGATGTTCAGTTGTGCAACTCCACCCCAGACCCACAACCCAACGAGGAATAGGGAGTAGGGAGGAAGCACACATCTTAAATCTTTTTGATCTCAACTATATACCACCTTTATACATATACCTGGTTATAGTGGTCAGTCCCATGAGTTCTATCCTCTGGGTTCACGAACCTGATGTGCGAGGTGTGAAGGGTCTTTCTGGGGAATCCACAGAGTATGCTTCGGATGGTTGTCGTCTTCTAGAGTATCTTGCAGTGTCTTCCGCTTCGGTTTCCATATGACTAAGAGGGGTCGGTCAACAGCGCGCGGTACCCTTCTCTTGGGTACTTCAGAAGGTTTGAGATAAGAGGGACGACTTGACGGATCGCATTAGATTTGATTATTTGTATTCTATTTTAGGTTCGGAAGAACCTTTATTTGCCGACATGGCTTACGGAGAAAGTTCTTTTTACACAGCACTAGGGACGTACACATGGTTGCACTACGTCAACCATGATCGATGGAGTCGTCGAAGTTGGCACACTCCAACATTATATAAGATGAGGATCGTTAGAGTCATGCGCCAAACAGGCACACAAGTTCTAGGCGTCTCGGGTTTCATCCTGTGTATCATTGTCGCGGATATTTGGACCGATAGAGTCGATGCGGAACTACAGAGAGTCCTAAGTGTTTCCGAGTAAAGTACCTTTTCATGAATGTATTCTCACGAGGCATTTCTATAATCGCCTAACATATACTAGTCATGTATATTTAAGGTGGGGAGGATTGTTGACTGAGCGACTCCACCCTAAATCCACAACCAAACGAGGAACAGGAAATGAGGCGGCATTCAGTCACTCTAGGTCTATCCATCTTAACTATACATGGTCATAACGAATATGTTTTAGCCATTATAGTTTTACCTAATGAATTTTTTTTTTAAATTTTATACAGTGCTGCGACTTTCGCCTTATGAAAAAGTATTTACATTTGAGTTAGCCTTTTAATGTTTTTGGTTTAGTTATCTGAGATCGAGAGACGTACAAAAATCTACCGGTTTCCTGGATGCTTCTCCCTAAGCAGTAGGTTCAGACTCCTCCTGTGTCCTTGTCTTTTCCTTCGGTTGGGCAGTCCTTCTTGAAGTGTCCAATCTCACCACATAGGTGGCAAACTGTATTGGTCACCACATTGGTGGGTTGATGTAATACACTACACTGGGGTTCTGCATACGCGAGCGGTATGCCCCTTCATGTTGCACCTAGCACATAAGAGTTCCCGGCATATACCATGATGATGGTAGCTGCACTTGCTGCAGTGGGGAAGGTTTCCTAAGTATGGTCTCCTAGGTGTAGGGATGGAAAGGTTGACATAGGTATTGACTACCTCAGCTCGTCGCCTTTCGGAAGGCCCTTGAGCCGCGGTACTTCCCTCCTCGATCTTAATCTTTCTCTTCCGTGGATTTGAGTGAGGTTCTTGGGTGGCTGGGTATGCAGAGGTTGGTTGTTGCTGTTCCTACTAGGATCGGAATTTCCGATAGGGCTCTTGCTAACATTGGCGTTGTTAGCATTCAGTTGAGCCATGACAGCTGCTACGGCTGCCGAGACTGCAGCTTGGAACGTAGCTTCATCGAATAGAAGAGTAGGTTTCTTGCTTGCGGACTGGTTACGCTTCTTCGGAGGCATGGCTTTCCTACACGGAAAGGAATACAAGATAATGAGAGACGAAGGTTAACCCTGGACGTATCAATCCTCACTATGTTAGGCCTAAATTTTTCCCGTGCCTCGGATAATGGCTGTCTGAGTGTCGACCTACATCCCTATGATGTAGTCCTGGTATGCAAGGTAGGAGTATGAGTATCAAAAAGGCCATAAGATGCAAGTCGTTCCTACTAAGCTACCTTTATACTGGGAAAGGTTTCACTCTCCGACCTGGAGAGATTTGAGAACCGTTCGGAACGAAGACCACAGGAAGAGAGGCTCATGAAGGCTTATGGCTAAACAACCTCAACAGAGGTGTGGGGATCCGCTCTAAACACGTTATTGGCAACGGGAAACGATGATTTACCTAACACATAGCGTGAGTAGTATAACCACTAACTCACTAAATTGTATTATTTTATGGGTGTGTTAGCGTGACGAACATGAGGGAAAGACAATTCTCGGGTTCCATGCACTGGCTCCCTTTGTCTGCCTTGTATCTTTGACTGGGACCGGCGTAGGTTTCCTTCGGGTAGTTACCTAGGGTTCTCTTCCCCTATAGACATATTGGATTTCTACTTCTCCTTGCTTCCGATACTGACTTTGGGTGTCATCACTTCATGATGGATGACTGGAAATCTCAGAAGTTTAGGCGAATCTCTCACTGATGTTCCTAAAAGATATAGGCACTTGGTGAAGTCAATAGTCTCGACCTAGTTCATTCATTTCCAAGCAGGAAATCTTCTCAATGAACTTCTTCGGGGTCGGAATCAACTCTTCTGCCGAATACTGAAGTGGGTAGGGTTTTCTACAGGGTTCGTGCGAGAATGGAAATGTCTAAAGAATCCTAAGAGATTATTAACATTTCACTGAATGATCCATATCGAGTCCTGCTACGAT